AAATGAGAAACACTTATTGGGAGAGTAAATATTAATTTTCATACAAAGATTATTAATTTTTAAGATAGATTGGTTACAACCCTTTCTCATGTTATAATTTTTTCGTCATGCCTTCTTACTGAGGAGATAGATGAACTAGTGAGTGTGGGAAATTAAAGTGTTCAAAGAAACCCTGAGACTGTCGACAATCATGCAATATTGTATAGAGCAATATGGCCCATTATCGAGATGCGACTGTTACAGAATGCGTGCTCCTGGTATCGAAATTATGCTGGTTAGAAATACCGGTATATTCGACAAAGATTAGGTAAACATTAAGATGCGTGTTAGATAAAACGGTCAGAAGTGTCTGAGGACAAGGCGGAGATTGGACATAAAATAGAATGTTATAAAACGCATAGGCTCGTTGATTAGGGTACGTTACAAATATGAGAGGCTGTTGAAAGCAATAGATTAAGAAATTCGTTGATCGTGAGGAACGATGAAGAACATTTATGTAAGAACTACTTAGGCTTGACCGATAGTTCGAATGAGTGTTGAACCGCCATTCGAAAAAAGGCGACTCAACTTATCAGCCCAGTAGAGGTTCTAGTTTCAGCCACACTTTCAACATCTTAGATTGAGTTCATTAAGCAAACTAAATAAACAAAATAAAGTAGCTTAAGTCACGCCTTTCCTTGGGTTTCTAGCCCTTGAATGATAGGGTAGGACAGGTAGATTCGTAACCTGATTTAAACGCTTACATGCTTATAGCACATTTTTTCAACCAGGGTTTCTTAAGGGTTTACGCAGTCCTTCTTGGATCTAGCCTTGATAGCAAGAGCCTGGGATTAAGCTTTTCTGATAACTTTGAATAAGAGCCGGTATTATGCATATACGCACGCATGCACAAAGAAACGGAGACACTTAAGTAAAAGTATTATTTCCAATATAAAAGATAAGCCAAACAATTATGTATTTATATATGTTTATAAATTTTGGTTTAGTTGTGGTTATACATAGGAGGTAAGACAGCCAGACAATCACATTGATTAAGTGTTATCTTAAGACTTTTGCAAGAATAAGTTCCGGCTCTGATGATCTCCATCATATGATGAACGAAAGCTAAGTTCTTATTCGCCCGAAACGAGAGAGAATGTCTCGCTGACTGCGTCAGCCCGAACGTCGTATTACTACTAAACGGCTATAATACAATGGGAATCAGCCGTCGTCTTCTGGTTAGATCAACCTTCAAATCTCTTCTTCAGGCATTTGTATACGAAATGAAAGTCTACCCAACAAATCAAGAGTAATTTTGATGTTAGTAACTTTTGAGACTATCAATAATTCTATAATAAGTAGTTGGCTAAAAGTAGTGAAAATAAAACCGTAAACATTTTAGACACTTAGGCTAAAGGTAATGCCCTCACTTGGTGAGAGGATAGGAGCCTAGAATCTATCTGTAAATGCTTACAGGCTTAGTATGATCTCCAGAATTATTGAATAAAGTAGCCTCCGATTGGCTTTGCACTACTTCTTCCTTGAGAAAATGAACGGACTTTCTTCTGATAGTCTTCAGGTTTGGCGAAGATGAGTCATAATTTAGATTTTCAAGGTTAGATGAACTAAGAGAAGAACGAAGTAATCGATTTGTCACAGATCTCAGTTTTTGCTCTGGCTTTCGTTGAGACTCTGGACTGATTCGGGAAAGTGGAAGAGAGAATGCTGTCGTACGGACATCAACTTTTTCATTCTCATCTTTAAGGACGGCATGGCAGCGTGAAACAGTAGCACGACGGCTGAGCATGTGTCGATCATTAGGAGTGATCGAAGCAGATCTACAGTTTCTAGCAGAGCGCCTACAATAGTTTGGAGCTAATTTGTCAGGGATTGATTGCGCGTCTGATTGGCTAATATTTGTTACCGAGGTCCTGATTGCAAGTCTGCGTTTCGATTGACATCGTGGAACGAAACGATGCGCCTCATCAGAGGGTTTTGGCTCTGGGATGTTAGGTAAGGAAGCTTGATAAGCTGATCGAAGAGTTCGCTTGCCAACCATTGACGGAGATGACAAAGGAGGTGGTAACGAAGGACGAAGAAAAACTGAACAGTTGGCATTGTGTACAAGAAATGATTTGTCCATAGAGGAAGCAGACATACTCAAATCGGTAGATACCAGAGTGTCTGGTTTCGTCACATGCTTATTTTGGGCAGTTCGGCGCATAACTGACGAATTCTGTAAGATGAAAAACGCTTTGCTGAGCTAATAAAAGTGAAATTTGCTATGCATTTACTAGGAAAAAAGAATCTATTTAGAATATGCACCTTGACCCAATTGTACACGTCGCCAAAGTATAGAAAAACATAGATAAAAAACCCATATACAGAAACATATATCAAAAGTTACAGAATTGAATGTAGTACAACCTACAATAAA